AGATAGTAAATATTTTAGGCTTTTGGAGTCAAACGTCCATGTTGCAACCACTAAAATCTGTCATTGTAGTATACAAGCAGCCAGGAATAATATGAAAATGAAAAAGCATGGCTATGTTCCCATAAATCTTTATTTACCAGTAAATAAAGCCTAATAACAGGTAACTGTAACCGCTAAACAAGTAACAAGCTTGATTTAACCTATCAAACAGTATGTCAACAGATGGCTTAAGGCAGTCACTAAAAGAAAATAAAAGACAGAACTGTGTCTAATAAGCCAAAAATGGAGACAAAATGGAATCTAAAGAATAATCAATCTAAATGAAGGCAGTAAAAGAAGAAAAAATGAATGATAAAGAAAAGGATCAAATAAAAAAAAACCAATAACAAGATGATATATTTAAACCCAAACATATTGATAATTTCCTTAAATGTAAATGATTTAGAAGACTTCAATTAAAAGGCAGAGGTTAGCACACTGAATTTTTAAAAGCCTACTTTAAATATAAAATATAAATATATTAAAAATAAAATAATGGAAAAAGATTTACCAGGTAAATACTAATCAAAAGAAAGCTAGAGTGCTATGCTATAGAGAAAACAGACTTCAGAACAAGGAATATTATCAGGGATAAAGACGTGTATTTCATAATGAAAAGGGGAAGTTTAATAAAAAGACATGAAAATCCCAAATGAGTTCATACAAATAATAACAAAGCTTTAAAATATGAAGCAAAAATTGGTATCACTGAAAGGAGAATTTTTAAGATGCACAATTATATTTATTAATTTCACCTTTCCTAATTAATTGCTAGGATAAAATATAGTAAAAATATAAAAGTCTTAAATGACATTATCTGCTAACTAGACCTTCTTAGTATGTATAGAACAATATACCAAATATAAGCCTAGTTTTGGTCATCAAATTAACCTCAAGAGTATATAAGGACTCAAATCAAACAAAGGATGTCCCCTGACCACAATGTAACTAAACAGATAACCAACAGAAGGGTATCTGAAAAATCTCTTAATTTGGGGGAATAAGCAATACAACCAAATATAACCTAGAGGTCAAGAAAGTCATAAGAGAAATTTAACAATCTTTTTAACTGCATAATAACAAATATGAATACTCTAAATCCATAGGACATAGCTAGAAACTGAAACTTAAAAAAAAAAAAAAAAACACAAAACACCTTGGCAGTAATATAAAGAACATAAAATACACTGAGGATTTTTACTTGTAGTAAGATACACATGACATAAAGTTTATCATCTTAACCATTTTTAATGTTTATTTGTTTATTTTGAGAGAAAGAGAGCAAGCAGGGGAGAGAGGAAGAATCCCAAGCAGGCTCCACACTGCCAGCACAGAGCCTGATGTGGCGCCCCAAATCACAAACTGTGGGATCATGACCTGAGCCAAAATCACAAGTTGGATGCTTCACTGACTGAGCCACCCAGGTGCACCAAGTAGAATCCTAGAGTGATTTTCTTTTTATGATAGCTTTACTTCACTTAATATAATGTCTTCAAGGCTCATGCGTGTTGTAGCATGTGTCAAAATTTTTTTCCTTTTCAAGGTTGAAAAATATTCTATTGTACGTATATACTGCATCTTGTTTATCCATTCATGCATGGACACATGGACACTTGGGTTGCTTCTTGGCTATTGTGAATAATGCTGCTGTTAATACACAGAGATTCTTTTAAACAATAAACTGAAAAGTCATGCTGAGAGAAATTAAATGAGGCCCAAATAATTAAGAGATATATTGTGCTTATGGATTGGAAATCTTAATGTTAAAAATCTCAATTCTTCCCAAGTCAATCTGTACATCCAACACAATCTCAATCAAAACTACGGCAAGTATGTTTTTTAGAAGTTGGCAAGCTGACTCTAAAATATGTATGGAAGTTTAGATGATCTAGAAGAGTCAATTATGAGAAAGAATAACAAGTTGTGAAATGTACACAACCTGATTTCAAGACCTACTACAAATCTACAATATCTGGGAGAGGGTGGTATTGGCATGAGGAGAGACATGTAGATCAATGGAACAGAACGTAGGATCCAGAAATAGTCTGAAATTTATATGGTCAATTGATTTTCAATGGAAAAAGGATAATACTTTCAAGAAACAGTGTTGGAAAAATTGGACACTATATGCACCCCCCCCCAAAAAAATGAGCCTTAGTCCATACTTTACACCACCTATAAAGTTAATTCAAAATGGATCATAGGCCTCAAAATAAGAAATAAAACAATGGAACTTCTATAAAATATAGAAAAAAAATCTTTGAGACCTTGGGTTAGGCAAAGTTTCTTAGATAGGAAGCAAAAATCAAAAATCATTAAAAAAAATCTCATAAACTGGAATTTATCAAAATTAAAAGCCTATGTCTTTTTTTTTTAATTTTTTTTTTCAATGTTTATTTATTTTTGGGACAGAGAGAGACAGAGCATGAACGGGGGAGGGGCAGAGAGAGAGGGAGACACAGAATCGGAAACAGGCTCCACGCTCTGAGCCATCAGCCCAGAGCCTGACGCGGGGCTCGAACTCACGGACCGCGAGATCGTGACCTGGCTGAAGTTGGACGCTTAACCGACTGCGCCACCCAGGCGCCCCAAAAGCCTATGTCTTAAAAGACATTGTGAAGAGAATTAAAAGTCAAGACAACTTCTTACTAGACATGTCTCCAGAGGCAAGGGAAATAAAAACAAAAATGAGCTATGAGGATCTCATCCAGATAAAAAGCTTCTGCACTGCAAAGGAAACAATCAACAAAACTAAAAGGCAACTGATGGAATGGGAGAAGATATTTGCAAATGACATATCGAATAAAGGGTCAGTATCCAAAATCTATAAAGAACTTATCAAACTCAATACTCAAAAAACAAATAAACCAGTGAAGAAATGGAAAGGAGACATGAATATACACATATCCGAATAAGATATCCAGATGGCTAATAGACACATGAAAAGATGCCCAACCTCACTCATAAGAGAGAAATACAAATCAAAACCACACCTGTGAGAATGGCTAAAATGAACAAGTCAGGAAACAACAGGTGTTGGAAAGGATGTGGAGAAAGTAGAACCCTCTTGCACGGTTGGTGAGAATGCAAACTGGTACAGCCACTCTGGAGGACAGTGTGGAGGGTCCTCAAAAACTTAAAAATAGAATTACCCTACGACCTAGCAATTGCACTACTAGGTATTTATCCAAAGGATAGAAAAATGCTGATTTGAAGGGGCACATGCACCCCCAACGTTTATAGCAGCACTATCAACAATAGCCAGATTATGGAAAAAGCTCAAATGTCCATCAACTGATGAATGGATAAAGAAGATGTGATATATACACAAAACGGAATACTACCCAGTGATCAAAAAGAATGAAATCTTGCCATTTGCAACAACATGGATGGAACTAGAGTGTATTGTGCTAAGCAAAATATGCCAGTCAGAGAAAGATGAATTTCGTATGACTTCACTCATATGTGGAATTTAAGAAACACAACAGATGAACATGGAGGAAGGGAAGGAAAAACAAGATAAAAACAGAGAGGTAGGCAAACCATAAGAGACTCTTAACTACAGAGAACAAACTGAGTGTTGCTGGAGGAGTGTTGGGTGATGGGATGGGCTAAATGGGTGATGGGCATTAAGGAGGGCACTTGTCAAGATGGGCACTGGGTATTATATGTAAGCAATGAATTACTGGGTTCTACTCCTGGAACCAATGCTACACTGTATGTTAACTAACTTGAATTTAAATAAATAATTTTTTTTGAACATCAAGGCAAATAGCAGAAGAAAAGATTTTTGAAAGGCACATGTCAAAGAAAACTTGTATTCGGAATATATAAAAACATTTTACAACTGAATAAAAAAATAATCAAATAAAAAAACAATCAAATAACAATCAAATTTTTTAAATGGTCAAAAGATGTGAACAAATACTTCAAAAAAAGATCTATGAATGCAAATAAACACATGAAGAGATGGCCAGCATCATTAGGTATTAGCGAAATGGAAATTAAAACTGATTATAATTTTATATAGCTGCATGCCCATCAGAATGATGAATATTAAGACTAATAATAGCAAATGTTGGTGAGGATATGAAACAACTGGAACTCACACAGAGTCCGCATGGCAATGTAGGATAGGTAAGCCACTTTGGAAAATAGTTTGATATTTGCATCTAAATTAAACATAGTATGAAAACCTGCAATTCTGCTTCTAGGTATTTGCTCAAGAGAAATGAAACTATAGATGTCCACAAAAAGATCTATGTATGAACATCCCTAGTATTTTCATTTGTTACAGCTGAAAACGACACAGTCCAGCAACAGGTGAATGGAGATTCAAACTGTGGTACAGCCATCCATTCAGTACTCAGCAATAAAAGTAACCCACTATGGATGAAGGCACCATCACGGGTGGATCTCAAAAACACGCTGAGCGACAGGCGCCAGATACAGAAAGAGTACATACTGTGTGATTCCGCTTATATGGAAGTCTAGAAAACATAATCTACAACGGCAGAAGGCAGATCGCTGTTTGCCTGGGGTGGGGCAGTAGGAGGGGAGATTGCCTGGTAAGGGGAAGAAGAGAAGTCTGGGGGACACCAGAAAGATTCTGGGTCGTCGCTGTGGTGACAAAGGTCTATAACAGGTTTGTAAAGGTATATTGACTTTGACACGCAAACCTCCCCAAACTGGATCCTGGCATTTGCCCTGGGGAAAGAGTGATTTGAGACCACCAGGTGCAGCTCATTGGCAAGGCTCTGTCCACCTGCTGATCAGTGATGGGAACTGTTTACTACACAGATCTCGATTTGGATACAGGTAGCATTACTCTGCATTACTAGCTTTTGACCTTGTGAATGCTGAGCCTTATCTGAAAAACACAAAAAGATAATGAAAAAAAAAAAAACCTACCTCATAAGTTTGTTTGCACAGTAAATACTGTTTTATATTATAATCACTCCTCAGTTGTAATCATCATCTTTGTCATCATTATCCTTAGGTTGTCAAAATAACTCTGTATACGAGCTCAGCCTTAAAACAAGCCATTACTTTCACTAAGGCATGACAGAGTAACTTTTCTCCCCACAGCTTTGCAATAGGCATCTTCCACTGTTCAGACAACGGCTTCCTGAACTTTCATTTATCTTCTGAAGTTCTGTGGCAGTAAGGCATTCAGATGCTTTACTCAATTGTCTGGGCCATTTTCATTTAACTTTCTTATCTAGGCCTTCCTTTCCCAGCTGTTTTGAGTTTCTCAAAGCTGAGGAAATAGACCTCAACAAAATGACTCCAGATACCATTTTGCATATTAACAGCAATAAGACAGAAGTATCAATGATCTGCAAAGTTAATAGATTTTTTGTGTGTGTGACTCATAACACATTTGAGGTCAGCTGACAGCGTTGTTTCAGTTTGGGTCATATGAGAGGCAGTTTTCTGGGAAATTCTGCACATTAGTGCAGTCATTCCAAATTATCACAAGTATTTTTCAGAAACCCTGATTTTGTTCAGTGAACAAAACAAAATCACTCTGATCTCCTCAAGTTATGAAATAACTCCAAGTTTCATCTAGCATTTCTGCTATTTGCTTCTTACATTCCGTAAGCGTGAGTTGGTTACACTTGAGGATCAACTTCCTTTTGTCTATCTGGCTAATCAGTCTTTTGTCCCCATGATTCCATTTATACTGGATAATCAATGACTTCCATGCTGTCGAATTCACTGATCCCTTCTCTGTCCCTATTCATACTACATGGTTCCTCGGCGGCAATCAAAATTATTGGCCATTCCTTGCTCCTTTGATGTGTTGTCTTCTCTTGGCTTTCAGGATACCACATTCTCCTGGACTTCCACTTTGTACCGGGCTGCTGGTTCCCAGGCTAAATGTTGGGATGTAAGGGCCCATGCTGGGACATCTTCTGTTCCCCAGCTATATTCCCTTGGCTTTTACTTTTTTTTTTTAAATTGAGGTATAATTGACATAACATTATAAGAGCTTCAGGTATACAATGTAATGTCTCAATATCTGTATGGGTTGCAAAATGCTCACTACAGTAAGTCCCATTAACATCTGTCACTTGACTCCCTTGACTTTAGTAGTATCTGCTGAAGTCCAAATTTTAACCTTTAGCCCTGACTTCTCCTGGGGCTCTGACTCATATATCTAATCGCCTCTGTGACTGCTCCACCAGAATTTCCAGAACAGAACTCTTTGTACTGCCTCCCTGGCCCAGCCCTTCCCCCACTCCCCTGGCTAGTCAATGTCTCTTAATAAATGGCATCACCATCCACCCTGTTGCTCCGGCCAAAATTCTAGAAGTCCTCATTGGCTCCACTCTTTCCCCATCTCCTACCCTCAAAGTCCAATCCTATGGTCCTATCTCCAACATATATCTCAACAATTCCATCCCTTTCTCCCTCTATGCCACCAGCTACCAGGATCTCACATCTGTACAAGTGTACCAGCTTTTGACTGGTCTCCCACTCCAGTCTTCCCTCTTCTGTTCTACAGAGACCCCAAGATGATCTTTGTAAGCCATAAGTCAGATCATGTTTAAAGCTTTTGGGGGCTACTCATCACACTTGGATTCGAACCCAAACTCCCTGCCAGGGCCTCCAAGGTCCTGTGTGATCTGGTCATCGCCTACCTCCCTACTTCGCTCCTCCTAGGCACCTGACACTTACTCCAGCTCATGCTGACTTTACTCCTGTTCTCTGACCAAACTAAGCTCATACCTACCCTAGTGCCTTCATTTGTGCTCTTCTTCTGCTTGGAACACACTTGTCATGCAAGCAGCTAGACAGGAAGACATCACCTCATGAGAGGATGAGTGAGAGTCCAGAAAGAAACAAAAGATCCTCAAGAAAGTCCAGAGCTTCCCCATTTTTCCCCCGAGGGGACTCAGGACATGGGTAGAACCCGAAAGGAGGGCCTGGCAGTTACTCTGGGTCTTGCTGTGTTGAGGCTGCATATGGGGCAGGGGGAGTTGAAAATAATTCTGTTCCCAATGACTGGGGTGGACATCAGGGAGACCGGGAGCACTCCTGAGGGATATTTGAGAATTGGGGAGAAAGAGAGGAAATCGAGAAAAGTTGTAGAGTAAGAGAGACTGGGAGAGAAAAGGGAAGCGAGATTGTTCAAGTGGTTAGGGATTAGTCTTTAAATGGCTGTACCAAGATTGGTCCATCTGGGGCCCAGAGCTTACTTAAGGGAGAGACCTAGACTCTGTAGTGCTCTTGAACCAGAACAGGTGGAACTGGGAAACTAATTGTGGTAATGAGAGGAATAAGAGGAATAATGGTAATAAGAAGGAGGGAGATAAACAGCAAAAGAAAATACTTTCTCTGTTTCCTAGGGTTCCAGGCTCGACAGCTGGGGCCCAGGAAGTGTATGCTGGTGAGAAGCAGAGGTGAACTCATAAGGTGAGTTCCTTCTATCTGCCTAGCTCTCTGCATGAGGTTCATGTAGGGAAAGACTGGAAAGCTGGGTTCAAAACTGGCAAGAATTCTCTTTGTCCACAGCAAGGTGCTTCGGGACCTGAGGTTGTGTGTGTGAGCACAGGCTTGCGTCTTAACTTATTTCTCTCCCGAGAGAGAAGGTTGGCAGTTGTAGGGTTACTTGTAGACTCTCATGACACCCAACCTCACAGACTGATCATTGCAAAGATGCATGTGTCCTTCCTCAGCTCTGCCTCCCTGCTGTTTTACGGTAAAAAACAGAGCCGGACACATTCTTGACTCCCGCCTTCGTACCCCACACCACTGCTCCAAGCACAGGTGCCCCAAGGTGAGCCCCCTGTTCTGTGGGCTCCACTGACCTGTCCCCGCCTGCCACTAAAGGCATCCTCTTTAGAGGTTTTCTGCACTTCGCAGCCCCTCCTCACTTACTGTGGTTTGGATACACAGATGTTTCTACATGTGCTTCCGACAGTAACTACACTGATGAGCGGGCATCTTATAGAAGAAAAAACTTGAATAGCTAATAACTATATGAAAAACATGTTCCACCTCCATGCCTGCCCGAGACCTATATATTAAACCAATGTCATCAATTAATGAAAGTCTGACAGTCACGACCTGTGGTGGGTCTGCATGAACTTCAGATTCTCCAAAGTTTACAGTCCCTGCAACACCCACTGTCCCTTCTTGGAGCATCCCTGACACCAGTACTCCACGATCGTCCCCGCTGCCTCATGCAGTGTCAGCTAACTTCTCCAGGGAGGAAAACAAAAAAACAAAAATAAAACCAGAAAAAAACAATGAATGTCCTTGGAAGTTAGTTAAATTTTGGTAAAATCCATTAATAAAACTTAAATTCCCCATGCCTCCCAGATCTAGGCTTTCAGTGTCCAAAGAGTTTCAAAACCTTCTATACTCTTTCATATACTTCTTCAGCCTGAACCTACAGTGACCACTGTAAATGTCACTGGCATTATACTAAGGCAGATGGCAACAACTTTTTTCTTAAAGGGCCAGAGAGTAAATATTTCAGGCTCATGGGCAATATCTTGTCTCAGCTCTGAAAGCAGCCATAAGCAAAAGGTTGAGCAAATGGGTGTGGCTGCGTTCCAGTAACATTGACTTACAAAAACAGCTGTCCAGCCCGTAGGCCATGGTCTGCCAGAAAATCAACAAACATTGGTCCTAAGCTTGTGTTCGAAAATAAAGATACTGCAGAGTAGTATGATTTAACACAGGCAGTTCAAGTACGTAGTCTAGCGGAGGGGTTAAGAACATGAACACGGAGATAGGCTTGAGGTCAGCTCTCTGCACTGTGGTTTATAAACTGCAGGGAGATAAGTTATTTCGCCTAAGTTTCACTCATTTCACTTTTAATACAAAAACAAGAATCGCACCTAAGTCAAGGTGGGCGCAGCACGCGTTACTCAAACTCTCTGGCCACATTCCTTAACCCCATTAACACCCCTGCAGCAGGAAGCTGGATATTCACATGAAGCATTAGGAACGAACACACAAACATTCACGATGATTACAGCCAGGCAGTGCCACCAAATGAATGAAAACCCTTTGTTTTCATAGGTTTTTGGATTTTAGAATTACATAGTTGGGGACTCTTGACTCTTCTTTATTTATCAGTTATATTTTCTTGTTTGTAAACTAATTGTGTATGCCAATCTGTTGGAATCTGGACGGTTTCCTTCCTGATTTAGTTGACTGCTTCAAAACAAAGAGAAGTCAATTATTTTTAAGTTTATATACTTATTTTTAGAGAGAGACCGGGGGGAGGGGTGGCAGAGAGAGAGAGAGAATCCCAAAGAGGCTCTGCACTGTCAGCACAGAAGCCGATGTGGGGCTCGAACTCACAGACTGTGAGATCATGACCTGAGCCGAAAACAAGAGTCGGTCGCTCAACTGACTGAGCCACCCAGGCGCCCCAGAAGGCACTTTTAACATAGCCAGATCTGTCCATGTTTACTTTTGTGATTTGGGATGACACATAGTAAATGTGCATCCAGGGATTACTGAACAAATGAATATGTTTTCTTTTTCTCCACAGCCCTGTGAATTATAGTCTTGGGTGAACCGCACTCTCCCCAGCTGGAAGACTTCTTGCAGTGAAGGAACAAACCGAGAGACTCCCTACCAAGGTGGTCAGCAGGAAGTCATGGCAGGAGTGAGCATTCAGACCGCTTTAATGTGGTATCCTAGCTGTCTGGCTTTTCTTTGTCCTTTTTCCTCCAGAAGGATGGTATGCAGATATTTCCCTTCATTTCCTGAGAGAGTCTGACGGGTAAGCCTCAAATGAAGAGCTCTCAAATGAAGAGACACTAATAACAGTTTTTTACTGGATCACGACTTTGGTTCTGCATTTAATGGACCCTCATGAAATTAAAGAAAAAAAAAAGACTGTGTTTGATGAAAAGGGGAGTATCTCCTAGGAAAACATGAAGAAACATGGAAGGATTTTTGCCCCAAGAAACAAAACACCAGTGGGGGGGGGGCACGTGGGTGGCTCAGTCGGTTAAGCAACCGACTTCGGCTCAAGTCATGATCTCGTGGTTCGTGAGTTCGAACCCCGTGTCCAGCTCTGCACTGACAGCTCAGACCCTGGAGCCCCCTTCAGATTCTGTGTCTCCCTCTCTCTCTCTCTCTCTGCCCCTCTCTCATTTGCTATTTGTGTCTTCCTCTCTTTCTCTCTCAAAACTAAATAAACATTAGGGGGAGAAAAGAAATAAATCAATCAGGCATATTGCCAGAGCAGGTCCTGGTAGCCTGGGGGGGACTCTAGCCAAGTTGCCCAAGACGGGAGAGGGTCTGCTGCCTGGAATAAGCCAGCCAGGCCAAGCAAAGGGCCACTGGCCTGGCCCCGGGGCCCCGGGGCCAATGGGAACACAGCCATCCCCCAAAAGGTCTGGAGCAAGAACTCCTCATTGTCTGTCCCTGAGCCTATGCTGGGCGGTCCTCCCAACAGCACTAAGAAAGGATTTCACATTTTCAGTGTCCCATAGGAGTGACACTCATCGTTGTCGCAAGGCTTTGTTGGGTCCCTAATGATGACCCATGTGGACACAATCTCTCTAAATTAAGACCAGATGCCCTTGAGAAAAGACTGGAGTCTTGAAGGAGCTGGGACGGAAGAGTCCCTTGTAGGTATGTGCACTTCTGGAGGCCGAGCTGACCTCTGAGGAAGTGTCACCCTCACCACAAATGTGTGAACACAAATAAGTCATCGTCAGAGGGAACTCAGAATGCCTGTCTCTCTTCCCGGTAGTTGTATTTTTGTGCCACGGGCACATTCTTAAAGACCTTTCATGCCTCAAAACTTGACTATTGTTAGATAAATCTCAACTAAGTTTATTTTTTAGCACTTTTCAGTTTTTCCAAATTTTATGTGTGAAGTAAAACCATTAATATGTTAGATCATGCAATTTCTTTTTTTTAGTTTTTTCTTTAATGTTTTTATTTATTTTTGAGACAGAGAGAGACAGAGCATGAACAGGGGAGGGTCAGAGAGAGGGAGACACAGAATCTGAAACAGGCTCCAGGCTCTGAGCTGTCAGCACAGAGCCCGATGCGGGGCTCGAACCCAGAGACCGCAAGATCATGACCTGAGCCAAAGTCGGCCGCTTACCCGACTGAGCCACCCAGGGGGCCCTAGATCTTGCTATTTCAAAGCGCATAATTCAAACCCACATCAAGTGTTTAAGTCACCTGGGAAGGTGAAGGTGAGATGGCACCGGAGAGTGGCGGCCCAGCGGAGGGGGCGTCAGAGCTTTGCACACCATCCATCCACGGACAAACGAACACTTTGGCATCTCCAGCCAGTCCTGTCCTCTCAACGCTGGCCTCCTAGATGCAAGGCTTTAGGCTCTAGGACGGCTAAAGGCTTGTCAACCACGACACACCCTGAATTAGCTCCCACCCTCCCCTTCCTCACCAGCTTCAATCCCACTCTCCGAATGGCAACTCCGCTCCCCAGGAGTCACCTTACACTGCGCTTTTTCTCTCACCTCCTGTGTGCAGTCAGTCAGGAACCCCGTTGTGCTCTACCTTCTCACTGTGCCCCGTCACTGCCTGGACCACTGTGCCACCTCCTGTCTGTTCCCCCTGCATCACCCTCTGTCCTTGTAGAGCGTGCCTTCAACACGGGATTCAGAGAGATCCTGGGTCCACAAAAGCCAGACCACGCTGCCCTGACTCCAAAGCCTCCAATGGTTTTCTCACTCAGGGTAAATAAGAGTCCAATCCTTATAATGGCTCTTAGGCCTTAAGCATCCCCCTCCCAACATCCCTCCCACCCCCCAAGACCCCCCCCCCCCCGACACACACACAGGGCCAACCCCCTCACTTCCCTCCTCTCCTACTCACTCTGCTCTAGCCTCCTGGCCTTCTTGCCACCTCAGGCCTGGACAGAGGCTCCTCCCTCTGCCTGGATGCTCTACCCCAGGCAGCCACATGGTTCCTTCCCTCACCTCCTTTGGGGACTGGTTTAAGGGTTTGAGGATCTTCTCAGAGGCCTTTTCCAACTACCTTATTGAAAATTATAATTCACCTTCTCTGAAGTTTCATTTCCTTCAGTACTAGCTATTTCTCCCAACAGACCATGTAAATTATCTGCAATTATTTAAAAAAAAAATGGCCGCCCCCACTGTAAAACTCAAGTTCCACAGGGGCAAGGATTTTTGTCTGTTGTCACTGTTCTATCCCCCACACCTAGGACCGTGCTGCATGTAACAGTCCCTCAATAATAGTTCTTGAGTGAGGGACTGAATCACGTAATTAACTTGCAGCAGGTCTGATAATAACAGTCCCATCACAACGTACATCTATCATGAGAACAATCAAACATAATTTGACCTTTATAGAGGTGTTTGTAAAAAAAAAAAAAAACTATTAAGAAAAGCTACTTAAAAGTTATAATGCAACAATAATTACCTGAGTAAATGATGATTCATGAAGTAATATAATGGAAAATAGCTTTAAAAATGTTCCCTTCCACTGATAATAAAAGAAATGCAATAATAATGCAAGGGGGAGGCATAGTGGTGGCAGTTCTCAATACTGGCAAGGGGATGGCAAGAAGAAGCACTTCCAAGAAACACTAGTGAGAAAATCGTTGTTACAGGTTTTCTAGAAAATTCCTTGGCCTTAAAAAAATGTTTGGATATGCTTTTATCCAATCATTACACTTCAAATCACCTATCCTAAGAAAACAATAGGGAAGAAGACGCATAAGTATACACAAAGACACAAATCACAACATTATTGGAAACAGTTGTAAGTAAGCAGAACTCAACTGCCAGGAATTGGACGTTCTGACATTATTCCCCACCTTCTCCCATTCTTCCCACTTCCTCAAAGAGGCTGTCCCTGCAGTACCTCTGTCCCATGCATATCATTCTTCTGGGTGTAATTTCTCAAAACGGTATATTCCTTGCTTTCATACTTACAGGTATGTGTTTATTTTGTGCTTTTTTTGGGGGTCTATTTCATCCATTAGACTGTAAGACGCATAAAGGCAGGAACTCTCTGATTTGTTCGCCAGTGCAATTCTAAATTTACAACTTCTGGCACGTAGTAAGCACCCAAGACTTGTTGAAAAAATGGATAAATGAACAAAGCAGAATATTACGCTACCACCAAAATATTTCTGAAACACCAATGGCCTAGGAAATGCCTACAATATGATATTAGTAGAAAGAAACACAAGTCACATTCAGCATCATTTCAACTATCAGAAAAACGGACAGAAAAAAATCACACTGGAAGAAAATGAAAACAAAAAAAACCCGTAATAGTAACTCTGGCTGGGTGCTAAAAATACAGAAGTATGATGCATTCCTTTTCTATATTTTTCTATATTCACACTGTTTCACCGTGTTACACAACTAGTAAGATAATACAGAAAGCCTAGAGGAAACCACACGAGCAGAAGCACGGTGAGGGCAAACAAGTGCGTGCAGAGAGCTTCAGGGGGTGGCACCTGCCTGCACCTGCTGAGCAGGGGCAGGATTACGGGCCGGTGCGGACTCGTGGACAGATGAAGAGGGACGTGGTCGGCGCTGGACTGTAGGAAGGTCTCCCTGACCAACTACAGCCTACTCTCTGTTTTTGTGAATTGAGCTGTATTGGAACACAGCTACGTTCATTCACTGGGGTACTGTCTGTGGCTGCTCTCATATGCCAAGTAGTTACAACCCGCACCGTTACAGCCCGGAAAGCCTAAAACACTTACTGTATGGCCCCTTACAGAAAATCTCCCCCGGCCCCTGGCCTAGAGGATCTACTGGAGAAAGGAGAAATTACAAGAAGTAAGGAGGTGGCTGCAAAGGCCATCAATTTCTCTTTTTTTTTCTTAAAAAAAATTTAATGTTTATTTTTGAGAGACAGAGAGAGAGAGACAGAGCATGAGCAGGGGAGGGGCAGAGAGAGAGGGAGACACAGAATCCAGGCTCCGAGCTGTCAGCACAGAGCCCAACACAGGGCTCGAACTCACGGACCGTGAGATCATGACCTGAGCTGAAGTCGGACGCCCAACCAACCACCCTGGCGCCCCAAAGGCCATCATTTTCAAGGTAACATGGAATGTGATGGTGGCAGACAGAGGAGTGTTGACAAGTATCTGTATGGACAGTCAGATAGGCAGAAGAAGGCTCCTCTCAAAGGGTGAGAGGCGTTCGTATTTTAGGCAGTTACTGCCATTTTATGTAATTACTATTTAATCGTGCTGCAGGAAAAGCAGTAGCCGTTGGATCGCTTACCTGCCGAATCGGGACTGTAGAGGCCAGCAGCTGCCGCGATGGGTCCTGGTGGGTGGATGGCACTCGCTGAGGACCTCTGACTCGCGATCAGGATCCTGCTCTTTGCAGATGGTAAACGGGACATTGCACCCAATCCCAACTGGGGCTTAAGGAGCATGGCCGATCGGTAGAAAGTTGGAGGAACTTCATAACGAGTATAGGACGGACTGCAAAATTCTTCTTTTCCGGGGCGTTCTGTCACCTGCAATGAATGACCAGAAGCTTCATGAAAGGAGCGCACATCATTGGATGAGGACGGAACATGGTCAGGAGACCAAGGCTCCAGCAAAGGCCACTGTGGCACCACTGAGTTGCCCCACCACTGACCACTTAGCTTCTCTGGACCCCAGACTCTTCATCTCTACGTTAACAGCACAGCTGGATGACCTCTCAGGTCTCTTCCAGTTCTAACACTCTATGAATCCAAATTTCACTGGGGGGAAAAAAAGAACTCACTGTATAAGACTTTTAAATTTGATTGCTTCAAAAT